CCCTCCAGTGAAAGTCCCTTTGCATTATCCATTTCCTAGTTCGACTGCGAATTGCTGATTTTCGGACAGTCGGTTGGCATAGATGCCTGACGGTTGTAACAGCAGCCACCAATATTGCGATGCTGTTAATAAATTTTCTCCAGGATTCCAGGGGATTGCGCCCATATCAGGGGAGATACATTGGATTCCATGACCCAGGATGTTTAGTCCTGTATAATCGGTTATGCTGCGAAAGCATTCCGAAGAAGCTGTTATTACTGATTCATGGCAAACATATTCCAACAGTAATGCAGCTTGATCACTGCGCACCAACGGATTGCGATTGCGATTGATTCGACCATCAATTCTTTATTTATCAGTACTAGATCCAAAGTTGACGAAATTTGGTTAATTCCAAACCTAGTGGGTTCCTTCACATGGTTGTACAACGGATGTGATTGGATAAACTGAATGAGTTGTCGTTCAAACGGCATACATGAAGTGGTCATGTTGCTCAGCTTTGAACAGTTGAAGTCACGCATAATAATAACGTGGGTGAAATTCAATGACAAGAAATAAGACATTGTTTCGAACAAAGTCTAATTTGTTGAATCTGCTGATGAAGCAGGGCGATAAACTACACCGATCAGCGCGATATGATGTTCCTTTAGCTTCAATTTACACCATAACGTATCTGCAGCAGCAAACGGGCACTCACTTTGTTCGCATTACAAGCTGCTATGATAATAGAGCAACAAGCCCCCACCTAGCGTTGGACGATCACGCCTTACTAGCTCCATGCCCGCTACTTGCAGCTCGGAGTCTAAAATGTCGGTCGTCAACCCGGTTTCGGTTACGGCAATGTGATCCCATCGATCGGTCCGACAACGTAGTCCCACTTCTGGAAAATTACTGAAAAAGCCCTGATCATTGGTATGGAAACAAAATAAAAGGTAGTAGTAAACAAGCTCGTTTTCAGAGATTTATATTCATGTCAATACATCTCAATAGATATATATCACTACTTGGGAATAAAATTGTATTGGGAAAATAAATTACAATTTATATTCAGTTTCAGTTTGCACAACGTAATCTATGGAGGTCGACCACGGGCGACCGCGTTGCCTAAAACTTTTTGCCTGACCTCATTATTGCTTGTCCGGCTGCCCGACCAGATTCGTGCAATGCTACGTAGACAGCGGTGTTCAAACACCAACNAACACCAACAGTCTATTTTTGTCCTGTTTTCTTAATGGCCAAGTTTCTGCTCCATAAAGTATAACTGGCCAAACTACTGCCGCACAGACTCTACCCTTCACAGACGGAGCCGGATGTCGCGATAAAATTTATATATTACTAGGAACAGTTTCATCATGAGACCGGAAATTTGGTTCGCCAAGATCACATATTTGTTTGTTTGTCCACTCATAATCTGATCATCAAGATACTGGTCCCATGCTGATTGTCTGAACTTGTTACCCGGAGGTCCCCCATTTCCCCAGAGAGACAGAGAGAGAGAGATGACCTCTGCTGCACATTTTGCACTTTGTCGGGATAGAAAACTCATTTATGCGTCGTGTTTTTTTTTGTGTGTGTGTGTGTGTCTGTCTGTCTGCCTGCCTACTGAGAGTAACCAAACCGCATCGTCTCAGGTATCATTTTCTATATCCCACACATATTTTTTATCACAGTGCATCGTGGAAACCGATCACAGATATTTCGAAACTATGGAAACTACGCAACCTGAAAGGAATGGTCGGTTATATCTATATGGATTTGAGTGGTGCACCGCCGGAATTGAAAAACCTCACATTTCTGGACAATCTGGAATCCCTGGTCTGGGAAAGTGAGTTTTCCCGATGAGTACCATTCCATCATCTGTATCAGGTGTACAATGTGATCTTTTTCAAATCTTCCACGAAGTTGACATAATAATAATAATATTATTATCATTATTAATAATAATAGTCTTTTTATTTCCTTTTTATTTTTTGAATATACAAATGTAGTCAACATTCAGGTAAGGGGATCGCGGCCATACAAAGGCTGCCTGGTAAGACGGGCGGTGATGGAGCAGTTCGAACCCGAAACTCCCAGGTCACAAGTTGATGACCTGACCAATTGGCCACCGTATCCCATTTTTATCGTGCCTCAGTTCTCGTCTGGTTGCATTGGCCAATGATGCACAGGGCTGATTAATAGAAAGATGCAATAATTAGCCTAGATGTGATGGTTTTGTCCAGTTTGTCCCAAATCAGAGCATGTCCAGTCTGAAACCCTCTCTATTTTGCAGACTTTCTCGGGTCAACCACCAGAACAAATTAGTTGTTGTTTCGCACAATAAATTATTCTCAAGAATCACCCGTTGGAGTCAAATAACCACGAACGTCAAAGTGAACGTTTTCGTTTGCTAATGGCATAAATATTATCTGTCATTCTATGCGGTTCGTTTATCGCTTACTAGGGCACAAATGTATG